CAAGGAATTCTTGGAGAGTCTCAAGGACGACCTACCCAAGTGCTTCAAGAGGCCGAAAGACACACTCAGGACCGATCTCTACTTGGACAACTATGTTGAGATCAACGACGACGATTCGCATTCGACCATCCGACTCCGGGAGGTGATGCTCACCGGAAAGGCCGCTGCTAAGGAGATCAGGTACGACAAGCTCTCCGCCAAGGACAAGAAGCTCATGGACATGGCCATGAAGGTTGAGTGGTCCAAGTGGACCGAGTTCGGGGCCTACAAGAAGCTACCGCCCAAGGAGTTGAAGGAGATCTTCCAGCGACACCCTGGAATGCGACCAGTTGGTACCCGCTGGGTGCTCACGCAGAAGGCCGCCAACCTCATGAAGGCCCGCCTTGTCGTCCAGGGCTGTCAAGAGGACAAGTCCCAAATCCGTACGGACGCGCCGACCGGGTCAAGGGACGCGCTCTACCTCACGCTTGCTGCCGCCGCCCAGCTTGGCTGGGACCTCACGTCGTACGACGCGATGACGGCTTACCTGCAGTCGGGCAACATCGAGAGGCTGCTATTGCTGCGCATACCAGCCAAGAACCCGCCGCCAGGCACATTGCCCGGCGAGATCGCGATGGCGACTGGCGCCATCTATGGTACCCGGGATGCCGGGCGCCAGCGGTACCTCTACGCCCAAAAGGTGTTCCAGGAGCACGGCCTCATCGAGAGCAAGCTCGAGAAGGGCCTTTACTACTTCTACGACGACAAGGGGCTCGCTGCTATGATCCACTCCCATGTGGATGATTTCCTCATCGCCCAGCGCGGAAGCTCCAGCGAGTGGAAGCGAGTCATTAGCTCCTTACAGAACAGGCTGCACCTCAAGAAGGTAGAGGGCATCATCAAGCACTGCGGCCGGACAATAAACAAGACCAACGAAGAGTTCCGCATTACCCAGGCGACGGCCGCCGCCCAGGTGGATTTCATCGAACTCAACGTCCAACGCGGACGATCACCAGAGGATCGTCTTACCACCTCGGAGGTCTCAGGATATCGCCACGCACTCGGCCAACTGCTTTGGCTCGCAGTACAGACGCGAGTGGACATCGCCTGCCCGGTGAGCCTTGCGGCTCGCCGCACCAACACCGCCACCGTGGCCGACGCCAAGACGCTGAACAATACCGTCGCTTACGTGCACGGGTCCGCCGATTTCGCCATAGCCATCAAGCGCAACATCATCGACCTGCGCACTTGCACCATCGTCTGTTTCAGCGACGCGGCCTTCGCCAATGTGGACGGGGTGAAGAGCCAGTGGGGCATGGCGATCGGGCTAACCCACAAGCCACGGGACGTCGTGGCTGGACGATATGACTTGTGCCTGCCTGTGGCCTGGCATTCGGGCACGGTCAAGCGATCCATGAAGTCGACGCTGGCCGCCGAGGGCTACGCCACTCTGGAGGGCGCCGCGTCGAGCACGTGGTTCGGCCAGCTACTTACGGAGGCCTACAACCCGAAGAAGACGCTCAAGCAGATCGACGACCTCAGCACCAAACGATCCGGGGAGATCTATAGCGACAGCAACGGTCTGGTGACGCACATCAAGTCTGACGTGGGTCAATCCACGGACAAGCGGTTCCGCATCGTGGCATCAATGATCAAGGAGACAGTGCACCCCAACAGCCAGCTGAAGCTCTCGTGGATACCTACGTGGAGTATGGTCGCCGACGCGCTCACCAAGATCATGGAGACCGGAGTGCTCCTCGCCTTCTTCGGGGCCAAGAAGTACAACTTTGGCACTAGGCAACCGCGCGCCGCCATGCTTGCCTCAGTGCTGATGACATGTCTCGGACGCGTGAAGGCACAGCATCCCCCACAGGAATGGCAAGTGCCGATGTCACATTGGATCTACTACATGACATTAATTGCGATGCTCAGTGGGATCATGATTGGATTTACATTGTTCGCAGCGCTGCGGTTTGTGGTGCGAAAGGAGATATTTGGGCCAGGCGACCCCAACCCCATCCAGATCGGGACCATCAACAACACCAGCAATGGGTCCAAGGCCGACCACACCGGGCACGCGGACACTCCCTTGCCCGGAGTATATCCAGGATGGGATGGACGATACCTTGGACGTCGTAACAACGTACAGCCTACCATCCCCGAAGACGTCGACGGAGATGTCTACATGGAGCCGCCGATGATTGCCGTCGCAGCCCAGAGTTCATCATCAGCAAGCGGATCGGCAGCGCCAGCCGCACCGCCCCCATCACCGGACAGCTTCGCGCAGCGAGCGAGCTCGGCGCCATCATCCCCGATGACGGTTCACAGTTCCTCGTCAGCCAGTGTGGTTTCGTGGAACGGATCGACGCCAACGGTTTCGCCATCAGAGATGAACGCATGCGTGGCCGCCGAGCACAACATACGTGTGGGACGCAACACACATAGTGTCTACATCACCTGCAGGACGTGCAGGAAGTATGCGTCATGGCTTCGCAGGAATCATATGACCCATGAGCCAGATTTTTCGAGGATGCGCAATAGTCTGCGCTGGGATCTACAGAATAGATGGAGGCAGCTACAAGGACTGCCCGGCAAGGCGAAAGCTCAAAATAAGATTTCGTGACGCACGCCGCCGCTCTATATTTGGCGCCACATCCTGTGGCCGATTACGTTAGTCCGCATCGCTCTGTCAGCTCGTTTTCTTTACACCTGGAGCCACATCCTGTGGCAGACTACGTTAGTCCGAATCGTCTTACCAGCTCGTTTTCTTTACATTTGGCGCCACATCCTGTGGCAGATTACGCTAGCCCGCATTGTTCGAAACTTTATTCAGTGTGCACAGGTCTTCTTTTATGTGGTGACGACCACACTATTGAGGCTTTATCTTGATAAGATAGCGCTATTTGAGTTTTGTCGCATAGCGATCGGACTCGCGCCGCTGTTCGCTTTGAGAATCCATGTTTTTCTTGCCGGTGCGTGTAGCAGCACCCGTTGAATGCCCTGGGGCAGCCGGATAGCATGCCGACAAGGCCGTTTGCCTGTGTTTGTTTTGGAGCGCTCTGATTACTGAAGTGAGCTGCGATCGATGATCGTCGCTCGACGGCGCCGCGAGCGTCAATCAGGAGGAGTGTGATTCCCGCTCACTCCCCGTGCCCTTCCTTCCCCGCTCTATCTCTCACGCCCGCCTTGTCGCTGCCGTTTCGTTTCGAACTAGGGCCCGTGGCCTTAGAGCTACGCAGAGAGTTTCGCCGCGCGATTCCTCGACAAACGATATCAGCGATATCCATATATCACAATCTCGAGCCCCTCTCGGAACCCTTTGGGGCCCTCTTTGGTGCGCTGCATGCTGCTACACTGCATGCTTATCCACTTTCCAGACCAAGGCATCTCGCCTAGGCATCTTCCGTGGATGGGCTTGTGGGGAGTCGCGAAGCGTCACGAGTAAAACTGCAAATGCAACCTCGCCCAGGGCTTCAAGAGGGCCGCAGGATGAGGAATACAAGTGGTTTCAAATGGGAGGCCCTCAAAAGTGCCCCAACATGAGGAATAACACTTGTTTCAAATGCAACCTCTCCTGGGGCTTCAAGAGGGCTCCAAGAGCAGCAGCACGTGGGGAATAACATTGGTTGCAAATGCCACCCCTTCTGAAATCCTCGAGGCCCTCAAGAGGCCCCCAAGAGGCCCCAAATACTCAAAGAATCTGGGCCCCGCGGCGATGCGTTCGGACCCCCGCCGCCACGGCTGGATTCGGCTTGAACCCACGGTCATTGAAACACCGCTCCAGGACATGCGCTCGATTGCCGCCACACCACACGCCCCAACGACTGAAGGCCCCAGCCACGGACCACAAGGACCACGACGAGCATCTAACCACGCAGAATACTTGAGAGACAACCTGAATGAATACCATAACGAATTCCTCTTTGAGAAATGGGAGGAAACCGAGTGAATACTTTTCCTGGATCCTGCTCGTGCCCGCTCGCGCAAAAACGCAAAAAGTATCCACCAAGAATCCGGCAGAAAATTCACTCAAAATCCGGCAGAGCTTGCACTCAGAATCCGGCAGAATTTTCATTCAGAACCCGGAAGGAAATTCACTATGAATACGGCATAAGTTTCACTCAGAATCCCCCTTGGTCCCCCTCGGTCCCCCTCGGTCCCGCCCTCGGCCCTCGTCGTCCTCCTCGGTCCTCTCCCGTCGATCCCCCTCTTCGGCCCCCCCTCGGTCCCCCCTGGTCCCCCTCGATCCTCTCCCTCGGCCTCCCTCGATCCTCCCCCTCGATCCCCTTCGCCCCCCTCGATACCCCTTCCTCTCCTTCGATCCTCCGCCTCGGTCCCCCTCGGTCCCCTACGATCCGCCCCCATCCATCCTCCCCCTCAGTCGCCCTCTGTCGACCCCCTCGGTCTCCCTCGATCCTCCCCCGTCGGTTCCCCCTCGATCCTCCCCCTTCGGGCCCCCTCATTCCCCTCGGGCCCCCCTCGGTCCTCCCCCTCAGCTCCCGTTGAACCGACCCCTCGCTCCCCTTCGGTCCCCCTCGGTCCCTATGTGTCCCCCATCGGTGCCCCTCAGTCCCCCTCGGCCCCCCTAGGTCTCTCTCGATCCTCCCCCATCGATTCTCCCCCATCGGTCCCCGTCGGTCCCCCCCGGTCCCCCTCGATCATCCCCGTCGGTTCCCCTCGATCCCCCCCCCTCGGTCCCTCTCGGTTCCCCTCAATCCCCCTTGGTTTCCATCGATCCCTCCCCCGTTGGCCTCCGTGGGCTCCCGCAGTCCCCTCACGACGGGGACGCCTCTGGGCGCTTCTGTTCTACGGCGGGGAGGCTTCAGGACAACGCTGGAGCGCGACGGGGAGGTCGAGGGGGAAGGTGGGAAGGAACAGGCAGAGGGGAAGAGGGGAGAGGGTGGAATGAGGGGGGGGGGAAGGAGTATGACAAAACCTTTGGACACAGGTATCCGTTGCCCCACAACGGACATTCGAGCCACATCTATGCAGACGGGCGCAAGTTCAAGAGCCGCAAAAGCCTCTTCTTCGCCCGCGGGTCCGTAGCCGCCTCGACGAGCTGAAGAAACTTCGGAGTTTCAGTGTACTCCATGACATCTTGTTCGGTGAAAACATAGTCCCTGGCGCCCGACGCGAGCCGCCGGTCAAAAAAATGCTGCGCTTTGCAGCACCATGTCTCCGCGCATAAATGCGCGCCGGGTATTGTGTAAAATGATATATTAAATCGTGCGGTGGCGCCCCGAAGGTACCTCTCGGCGAAGTCGATGGCCATCTCCCCGTGCGCCTCGCCCTTGAAAGCGTCGAAAGGCACGCCGTAATGCTCCATGCACCATTTTCCGCCCAGTACCTTGAGGAGGAAATCCTGGGGCGCATCTGGCCCCAAATCCCACTCCTCCCGGACGGCGTGGAGATGCTCCATCATCTCCTCGATGTCCTCGTCGTTCATGCGCTGCTCCTCGGGTGTCTCGTCGTCCGACTCACCCTTGCGCAAGCCTGACCGTCGGCCCGCAGCTCTCCGACGCTCGCTTTCCTCCTCCTCGAACTTCCCCGCTAACCACGGCCAGTGCTTCAGGAACTCATCCTTCCAAGCGCGCGTGCTCGATGCCCCGCCGCTCCTGTTCTCGGCGACAGGGGCGCGCGGCAGCGACGCCAAGAGCGCGCTGAGCGGCCCCCCCCCACGTCGTCGCACGCGATATCGTAGCCGCCGGCATAATGCGCATTCCGGAGCACCCGAATGCTGGCTGCGTCGTCTGGTAGGGGAAGGTCGAACCAGGCAGCGAAATCCAAGGCGCCGAAGGTGAAATTATGAAGCCACTGAGAAACGCACGCATCTTCCCAGCTGCCGCCAAACATGCTGACGTGCGCGGGGAAGTACGCGTCCTTCTCGCCGAGTGGGGCGAACATGATGAACTGGGGACTCTGCGCTGCGAAGATAAACTTGTAATACTTGCACTCGCCGCCGGTCTGAAGCCCCAAAATGGTCGACGCAAACGACTCCCTGTTTCGAACGACCGCGGGGAACCAGGGCGGTCTGTCGTGCTTCCCCTCTTCCTCAGCTGCGTACCCCTCGAGCTCATCGAGAAACGTCTTGGTGAGCTTAGGCGGCGCCTCTCTGGCTGCCTTGCGCATGTCATCCAGACCGCGACCATCCCTGAAGGCGCCGCTGTTGAAGATCTCATCCCACTCCAAGAAATCACCCTGCGCCAGTTTGCAGGAAGAGAACCGGAGCGGCGGCTTCTCTGCAGCTTTTTTGAGTCGTTCCCTGTTGAACGCCTGCAGGTTGCGGGCCTCGTCAATTTATTGCTCTTGCTGGGAGAGAATCAACCTTGCCTTCCTATCGTAATCGCGCTTCCTCGCGGGATCCATGCTTTCCCAACCCCTGCCATGCAACCTGATGACGTCTTTGGACTTCAACCCGCGTTGGCCGTCTGCCTCCCGGACCTTGGACAACTCAACGAGTTCCTTCACATACTGCTCACGCCCCTGGTAACTTTGCGGCCGCCTTTTCTCGAGGCGCTTCAAACGATTGTGTAGCATGGCTTCGCGGCGTTCGTCCTCGTCGAGGCCTGGGGGGACCTTCTTACTCATGTGCATGAACGCCCTCGCCATCAGGCCCTCGCACGTTGTGTCAGGGCGAAATTTGCCCCGGAGCGCCCCCGAAGCGTGCAAATGCTCCGCCGCAATCGTGTCCCAGGGTATGTCGGCCAGCAGCGCGACACCCTGTCTGTTGACACGCCGCCCCCAAGGGAATTTGTCCAGATGCCACATCTGCTCCGTGATGGGTTCGGTCGGTATCGGGCCTCGTTTGAGAGCGTCCAAATTGGCATCAACGTCTCCACGAACCATGCACCAAGGGGCGCCTTCTGCTTTCCAGACAAAGCGAAACATCATGAAACCGATGGCGACGTGGGCCGCGCCAATGGACGAGTGCCGCACTTCAGGGCCAGCCATGTTGCAGACTCTCCCGAAGAGACCCCATATACCATCGCCATAGTTGCAAAGTTTATCCATCGCCTCACGAATAGTTGTCTTCAGAGCGCACAGGTGCTTGGCCACCCGGGAATCTCTGAGCAACATCTGCATCACTGCGCCCGCTGGGAAACTGGCCGTAGCAGCCGTCACCATGAAGTGAAGTTCGTCCGAACCGAGCCGCTCCACGCCTCCCAAGTAAAAGTCCTGCGCGTTGGGGCGGTCCAGCACGTGCTTGGCGAGTCCGCGCAGCCCGCCAAATATTGCTCCGACGCCCATCTGGCAAGCCCGGGTCGCAGCATGCCACCTGGGGGGTCCCAGCCTAACCGTTTTCCCGACACTGAATTGCCAGGCGCCTGGAACGCCGTAGCCCTGCCCCCCCTCTGCGCGAACCGAAAAACATTCGCCGCCGTCGATAACCCTGGCGACCGCTCCGCCTGCCCACCCACCCCCGCCACCCGCCCGCCCAAATTGCGCTAGGCCCCCTGGGCCGCCCAAAACCTCCAACCCAGAAAATTAACGTGGCCCCCATCGTTTCTCCTTGGGGAAGTTGATTCGGACAAGGGCCGCAACCGCACCTGCTGCCATTGAACTTTTTCAAGCGCCAGACGCTGAACAAGCAGAAATTGATATTGGTGAAGGTGTCCTCGCCCGCATCGCCTGTGTCAAGGATCTCGAGTCGACCCCCAAAGTACCGCAAGCGCAAGCTGACCAGGGTGGCCACGACGCTCTCCTCCACGCCCATCGCCAACCAGAAATGTTTCAAATCGTCTGGGTCGTCGAGTTCCTCGGCGGAGCGAGCGACCGTAACGTCCCACATCCACTCGGGAGTCAACCCGCTCAACTGTTGCATGCTATCGCGAAGGCTTTCGATGGCCAAGTGCACGTTTTTCATCAGAGATGTGTTATGGTACCACGTCCACAAAGACCACTCGATTGACTTATGGGTGTCGTGCATGCTGCACCCTGTTTCGACAAACCACTGCATCAAATACAAAATGTCCGGCGGATGCTCGTAGATATCTGTTTGTTGGACGGCTTCCTTTTTCCACCATTGCTTCAATATGCGAGAAACTGATGCTAATAAGGCGCGGTCAAATGCGCAATGAAATATGATGAGGCCTCCATGGCCGTATTTCCTCGGGTTCATGATCATACGCAAAGCGAAAGCAGCCGATGCGGCAGCTCCTTGGCCGTCTGTCATGGGATTTGGCTCATCAAACATGACCGTGACATTCTTGCGACCTGAGGGGTCGACGAATTCGAGGAAACACAGCTGCACGTAGTATTCGAGAAACTGGCGCCCACATAGCCTGGCACGTTTGCAATTGTACCGGACGCTGGAACCATGCACCGTTCGGAGTTTTGTGCCATCGCCAGCATACGACAGCAGAAGCGGCCTCCCATCTGCTTCAGCAATGCTGCGCTCAAACCGCCTCCTCCAAAACTCCTTGCCTGATTCAGTCACGCGTTCCAGCGTGCGCAACTCTGCAGAATCATGGTGCAAGGACGGTTTGTGCCATTTCTCCAGAAGCCGAAGGACCTCTGGTTTGTCAGGTGCCTCCGACGGCGCGGCCATTACCCTTGAGCCTACATGGCTACAAATACAGACTGCCACGATGGCGATGCTGCCAATGAAGATGAGGCTGGCAATGTGGACGTCGCGGATACTAACGACAGTAAGGGGGGCAACGCCCAAAAGCCTGACGCAACCTGAATGAGGGGGACTTCTGTGCTCGAGACTGCCCTGCGCAATGCAACGCGATGAGGGTTAACGCAATGATGTGCAACGCAATGCAAACAATAACGCAGCATAGCGATGTACAGTATAGCGCCGCTCACCATAACATGGCATTGCAACATTGTGCAGCGTCGAATGGCATAGCATAACAAAGAAATCAATGTCACATATCAAATCGCATCGAACCCTACGCCCTCACACGACCTCAAACACGGTTGATCTGGTTGGATGTCCTGGCACGCACCCCAGGGTAAGTCCAGACAGAAACACATCGAGTCGCGACGGCTCACTTTCGCCACAGAATCACAGCATGCAGGGCCTGGGGCCAATGGAAACACAGCAAACTTATTGGGGGGCCGCAGACTCGCATCTTTGATCGTAAGACCGCCTCGACGTGCATGTGTGTTCGTGCCCATTCTGGGCGCCTTGCGCCCTGGCCCCCACTCCCCCTCATTTTCTTGCACCTTCTACCTTCTCCCAACCCTCGTCCATCGAGGCCCCGTCCTCCCTCCCCCCCCGTCTGCCCCACCCCCCTTCCGATGCTCCACTCTCCCTCCCTCACTGCCCCTCCCCCCATCCATTCTTCCTCCCTTCCCCTCCTGCCTCTGTTTTCCCTCCGTTTTCTTCCTTCCTGGCCTCCAGCGCGGTCCTTCGAAACCGCTGGGCGCGGACCGAACGTGCTTCTCCCCAGGGGCCTGGAGAGGCCCTCACCAACTTTCAAAAATCGCCTTTTCGGAGGTGATTTTGAAAATTGGTGAGGGGCCGCTCCGGGCCCCTGGGGAGGGCGCTTGGAGGAGCTCGGAGGAGCTCGGGCTGATACTTGCTAGGACCATCTCGGAGCCATCTTGTGGCCCTCTTGGGGCCATCTTGGGGCCCTCTTGGGGCCTCTTGCGGCCCTCATGGGGCCCTTTGGCTTTGGGGGCCCTGCGGGAGCTCTCTGAGGGCCCTAAGAAGCGTCCAGGAGGGGCTCAGTGAGACCCTTGTCAAACTCCGTCTGACGGAGATTGAGCTGATACTTGCTAGGACCATATTGGAGCCATCTTGGGGCCCTCTTGGAGCCATCTTGGGGCCCTCTTGGGGCCTCTTGCGGCCCTCTTGGGGCCCTTTGGGGGCCCTGCGGGAGCTCTCTGTGGGCCCTAAGAAGCGTCCAGGAGGGGTTCAGTGAGACCCTTGTCAAACTCCGTCAGACGGAGTTTGAACTGATACTTGCTAGGACCATCTTGGAGCCATCTTGGGGCCCTCTTGGAGCCATCTTGGGGCCCTCTTGGGGCCTCCTGGGGCCTTCTTGGACCCCCCTGGGGGCACTCCCAGGGCTCCAAGAGTGCCCCGAGAGGGGTCCAAGAGAGCCCCAGCAGGCTCCAAGAGGGCGCCAAGACGGCCCCAAGAAGGAGTCCCTGGGCTGTCCCCCAGAAGGGGTCCTGGGGGACAGCCCGAGACGCTCATTTTGGACCCCCCTGGGAGCCCTCCCAGGGGTCTAAGAGAGCCCGAAGAGGGCTCCAAGCGGGCCCCAGCAGGCTCCAAGAGGGCCCCCAGACAGCCCTCTTGGACCCCTCTTGGGGCTCTCTTGGGCCCCTGTTGGAGCCCCCTGGGGCCATCTTGAGACCCTCTCGGGGCTCTTTGGAACCCTCTTTGTTGCACTCAATGCTGCTACATTGCGTGCTGCTACACTTCCCTGGCCAAGGCATCTCGCCTACGCATTTTCCCTGGATGGGCTGGTGGGGATACGTGAAGTGTCAAAAACTTATTGCATGTGAAACGAGCGCGCCCCCGGAATCGCAAGCACGTGCGTGCTACAATCCGCAAATACACCCGCGTTGCCATCGTCTATAATCCCAGCATTGCCCCATCCCAAATCTAACGCAAACACACATTCGAAACCATAATGATGCAAAACCCAACGCTGTTCCAAAAATCAAGTCTTCAAACCATGCGGCGATCGTTTTCGAGGGTCCGAATCTTGAGTCAAACCTGAAACCCTGAAGCCCTGAGAGTTTGGATGTTTGGGTTTTTTGGGGAAATGAGAGTTTGATGGCCTCGACACAAATCAAAGAAAAACGTATGGTAGCTTACTCATGTACATCAATTGCATATTTTGCAGTGTTTCCTGATTTCGAATGGTAAGCTGTCACACGATGCGGCTCGCGAGATGTCAGGGGGGCTCAGGCGCGTCACACTCTGACGCGTTCAAGCTTTCGAAAGTTAGCCAAGCTCGCGCTAGGATTCCCTGAGGCGCACCCTTGGTCAATGTTCTGGCGCAATCCCGCCTGCAGTTTCTGCAAGCCCGTCTGATTTGATTTCCGAATGGATTTTCTCTCGCAACATAAAATGTCCATCGATGTTTTCACTCAGTTTTCACTCGGGGCGTCTGGCCGAGTGAGTACATGGGCACTGTGATGTACACAGGCGCTGTGGTGCACGCAAGCACTGTAGTGTACACAGGCGCTGTGATGCAGATCGCCACCTACATGGTGCTGCTACCCCTCCCCGATCATTTCTGACCACCTACCAGACCACGCCAACCCAACCCGAAGACCCGAATTTGACCCGAACTTCGGGTTGGGGGGGGACGGGTTCCATGTGTTTTGTTCAATGGTCCCCGACCCCCTCCCATTGGAAATGTAAAAAAATTGAAGCCTTCGGGTTGGGTTGGGGTCGTTTGGCGGGTGGTGAATTCCTAGGCATTCCCAGACGCCGCCGGCGAGAATCGCGACGTCACCGGCCCTCGAAAACCCACCCAACAATCTGGACACAACCCGGAAGCGCAGGGCAGAGGAACGCCACGAAGAGGGAGTCAGGCGCAGTCGTGTCTGCACGCAAAGGCACAGGCGGAGCTCCGCGCGAGCATCCGGATTTGGGTGGCTCACGGAACAAAAGAAGCAACAGGCAAGTGGGCAAGGCAGAGGTCGAGGAGACAGTCCTCGACAGAGAGGAGGGAAAAGGAACGACATGCGCTCTGCAGGCACGGCCACTTCACCGCATCAACGACATCGGAGAGAACTCGCAGCGAGCGGACAACTCTAGGACGGGCTGGGGATCCGCCGCAAGACAATGCAAAACGCATGGCAAGTGGAACATGTAAGAGGGGAGACATGCGTAGAGGAAGGAAGGATGAGGAGGATGCGGATGGGGGGCATTCGAAGGAGGCTGTAACGCAAGGCTATGGACAAAACCTTTGCTGCACGCGCGCCCACTTACAGCCCAGGACTCCAAAGAAAACCTGGGGGCCCTGGGGCGAGGGGGACTGTTCGGCAACGGGGACATTGAGTTCCCAAAACACAAACCAGGAATACAAAATTTCGCGCCATCGGCGCCACGGAACATTACGCACCGTTTTTTGTTGATATCGCGAGCTTGTGAAGCTCACCTGAAGAAGTACCAGAGGACCATTCAGTCTTGAATTTCGGTGTCTGAATTCTTACATGTATGATTTCTTTCCGAAGCATCCCTCCTGCTAACCCTGACCTGCTCCGTCCACCGTCTGCAACGGAGACGGCCGAACGCGGTTGCACGGAGTCGAGGCGCGCACACGCTTGACATCGATTCAAACAAGCGGCAGCACGCTACGCCTGACTCGCGCGTGAAGCGCTGGCAACAAAATCTGGCACGCAACACAGCGCCCCCGCTGGCTGGCCGTCCCCTGCCTACTCCACCGACCGACTGCTCCGGCTTCTTCTGCCACGATCCCTCCTGCTCACCCTCGACTCCTCTATTCACTATCGGCAAACTGCTGATCGCGGTGTCACGGAAAAAAAGGTGCGCACACGCTTGCCATCGATTAAAACAAGCGGCAACGCGCCAAGCTTGACGACCATTCGGACGACCTGGCAGCACATCGGAGGCGCGACAGTAGATGGACAATAGATTCAAACCCTCTCACATTCGAGGGAGATTCTAAATCGCTCCCGCGCCCCCGACATCAATGTTGATCTCAGAAAAGGCGGTGCTTTGGGGTTCGAATATTTCTGTCCACTCACCCCCCCCGTCGCCACGCCATCAATATTAATTTTGGTGGGTCGGGGGGGCATCTTGGGCCGCAGGGTTCGAATATAATGTCCATGTACGGTCCTCCCCCTCCTCCTCCTCCTCCTCCTCCTCCTCTTCCTCCTCCTCCTCCTCCGCCTCCGCCTCCTCCTCCTCCTTCTGTTCCTCCTCCTCCTCCTCCCCCTCCTCCTCCAGAGCAGCGGAGGGCCCCGTGGAGATTTTGGCCTGGATCGCAACGGAAATCGCGGTGGTGATCGTTTGATCTGGGATCTCGGTGGAGATCGACGTGGAGATTTTGGCATGGATCACGGCAGAGATCGACGAGGAGATTTGGGTAAAGACCGGCGCGGGGATCGCGGCGGAGATTTTGGCCTGGATCGCAGTGGAGATCGCCGTGAAGTCGTGGGGATACTTCACCGCGTAGATCGCGGTGAAGTATCGGATGGCAGCGGAAATCGCAGCGGAGATCGCCGCGGAGATGGCAATGGAAATTCCGGCTTGGATCGCGACGGTGATCGCCGGGCAGATTTTGATTTGGCAGTTTGGCTGAGTTGTCGTGACGGTTTCTCGCATGGGTCGCAGCGGAGGGCGCTTGGGAGATCTTCGCCTGGATCGTGGGGGCAAAGTCGCCGTAGAGATGTGGGGCTGGATCGTGGCGGAGGGTGCCGTGGAGATTTTGGCCTGGATCGCGACGGAGATCGCGGTGATCATTTGATCCAGGATCTCGGTGGAGATCGGCATGTAGTGTTTTGGCCTGGATCGCGGCGAAGATCGACTAGGAAATTTAGGTATGGACCAGGGCGGAGAGCGCCGTGGAGATTTTGGCCTGGATCGCGGGTGTAGTCGCCATGGTGATATTTTGTACTTGGATCGCGGCGGGGACCGCCGTGGAGATTTGGGCCTGGACTGCGGCACAAATCGCCGTCGAGATTTTGGTTT